AACTTAAGGCTTCTCTTGATAATAAGACACATTTGCTCCTGGAGATACCAATCTACTTCAAAAAAAAATAGTGGGCATCAAAGAATCTCCATATGAGGTTTACTTTCTTTATTGTAAAAATTGCCCTTCCCTTTACTGCTGACAGTCTATGTCCAAACTATACTAGTAGAACACAAAGAAAACTGATTTCAAAACTTTGCCAAGACAAGGTAAGACAATCCTTAAAAAAATTACTGGTTCACATAAAAGTTTGTCAGATACTCTAGGCCTGTAGGCTTAAGATGAATGTCCTAACATTGCAAAGGAACCTTGGGTGACTGCCAGTCAGTCAGCTATTTCTGTAGTTTCTTTTTACTTTTGAAAGTTGCTTGCTCTGTATTCCCTGTTTACTGAGGTAATGTTATATCCTTCTGAGGTCTTTGATGGAATTGAAAACTAGATGGTCACAGTTATAGTTTTCCTTAGTTATGATAAAAAGGTAAATTTGGTATAGAGCTTTAAACGCATCAAGATAGAATAAGTAATGGAGCATTTCCCCCAAATATGCCAAATGCAGATTGACTGGACATTGTAATTGCAATTATTCCTGATAATTGTTCTTTTTATTTATGGTTTCATCATATTATAGTTAAAACCTTTCCTTTTTATTTGGACAGAAAGAGAAAAATGTGGAATATACTGTGAAGATTTGTCACTCAGATTGGTTTAATAAAAAGATGAATGATCATCAGCCAGGCAGCATCTTCAGGCCAGAGAGGATGCTGGGAAGAAGATGACAAAGACACAGAGAGCTGCCAGTCAGACAGAGAGGAATCAACATTGGCAGTATAGAATAAAGGCAATAGGACCACATGGAAGAAAGTAAATAAATAGAAATTGGTTAAAATAAGTTATAAGAGCTAGTTAGAAACAAACCTAAGTGTTGTCAGAAGCCGCTTGTTCATTCATGGCTGTCCAGACCATGAAATGATCGCTCAGAAACTATATTATTTGCAATACTATTTGGCCAATAGCTTAAGCTCGTATATCTTAAATTAACCTATTTCCATTAACCTGTGTATCACCAAGTGGCTGTGGCTTACTGGCAAGTTTTCAGCATGTTTGTCTCTGACAGCGGCTACATTACTTCTCCCTGATCCCAGCATTCAAGAGGTAAAGACAGGTAGATCTCTGAATTAGACTCCAAACTGCTCTACAGGGTGAGTTCCAGGACAGTCAGGGCTACATATAAAAAAAAAAAAAAAAAAGAAAAAAAAAAACCTGTCTCAAAGGAAAAACAGACTGAAATAAAAATTTTAAATAGTAAAAAAGAAGCAGAAGACTTTAGGCAGTAATCTGCCAGCGCACTGAGGAAGTTTGGTAGACCTAGATCATATACTCTGCTTTTAAACTATTATTCCATGAAGCTAGCTTTTAATATCCATTTCCACTTTGCTGATTGAAAGCATTTTATTTTAAGAATTCTTAAAAGTCTCACAGGGCTGTATTCAGGTCAGTAATCTATCCTGAACTACAGCTCAATGCTGTTACATTCAGTTCTGCATGTATTTATTACATGCCTGTATGTTATATGCTGCAGTAGGACCTAAGATTTTGACAAGGAACCCTGACTGCAGGGACTAGTGGGCTGGTCTAATAGGGTATATGATGAAGATGCAGCGATGGGGATCAGTAGGCTGGTCTAAAAAGGTATATGATGGAGATGCAGCAGTACAAACAAAGAAAACCCAAAAATAACCAAGAGACAGGCAAAGTGCTTTAAGTGCTTCAAAGGAGGCAGCACGAAGTCAGTGCATTCGTTTCTAGGGAAGTATTATTAGAAACAAGCTAGTAAGAGAAAGTGGAATGTGTTTGGAGGGAGATGGGATTAGTGAAAAAAGAACAAGAGGGATGACTGGATGGTGGGAACATGTGGTACTCACTCAGGGAACATTTGCTGAGAATTCAAGAGTACAGAAGGTGAAGGGGTGGGGCACTGGCTCAGGCCTTAAGGTCATGGTCTTCAGAACAAGTGGAAAACAAACTGAAATCTTTAAATCTCAAGATCACAGCTATAGGTCAATCCATTTATCTTTAAAGAGAGTGTTTCTGTAACAGGAGATAACATTTAGAAAGAAAAAAATGTTCATGTTTGCTACATCTCTACAGGAGCCTGTTTGATTCTTGCAGAGAAGAAACTTGTAACGTCTTGCATTTCTAAATTCACTCAAGCACATTCCCAAAGATGCGAAATAGGCTTTGGTAACATCCGTTTCTTAATACATGGACAACTTATAAATGGTATGACTACAATGGTTAAAGCTAGGTTTGTTATAGAATACTGGTTTTGCCTCCATTTAGATATCCATGAATGAAAAGCCTACTCTAGACCACCCTTCTGTGGCAGTCCAAACTTATGCAAACTCAAGCTATGGAAATCTTTCTCAATTTCGTATGTTAAACATTTTATGGAGACTTATGAGTAATTGCTGGAGATTAACATGTTGGGCCAATAATCTGGATACCAATGCTAACAGAAACTCTAGCCCCAGTGAGTCGACAGGAAAACTTACAAATGATACAAATTAGTAGTATGACCAGCTAAATTGGATTAATCCACTGGAAATGAAACACAAAGATACCCAAGCAGAAAAAGAACAGCTAACACACAAGAAAATGACAGATTAAACATGAACAACATGTACCTAGAACACGGAAATATTAGAAATAGGAATAGAAGAAATTAGTGGTTTCTCTGCCCTCTGGTGGCAGTAAAATCAATCACAGGGTTAGAGAACTAAAAAGCACAATAAAGTCCTGTTATGAAATCAGATGTGTTTCCTTTGCCAAAATGTCTGTAACAAAAACCCTGAGTGCTGCCTGCCAACTTTTAACTTCTGAATTATTGTCTGGATATTTAACTCTCAGACCAGTCATCTTACAATGGAAAGTAGATTGTTTTTCTTCCGTGACACCACCTTTCCCTGTTTTATTCAGTAAGCTAAAATCACTCCAAGGTGATTTCATAAAACCCCATTAGAACCCTGTTTGGTTATTTCAGCTTATATAAAAATCTCTATAGAATTGACAAGATAGTTCATTCCTCCACCCCAATCCTATGAGCACAATGTTTCTAAGAGTTCCACCAGAAATCGTGAATTCCTTTAAAAATGCTGGCATATTTATCTTGTAAATGTAGGTATGTCATACTCCCCAAAGCAAACACTTTCCATAAGCTTGTCAGTTTTAAAGTGCAGTGAATTTCACTCTCTAGTTGAAGCTTTAGAAAAACAAACATGGGTGTCAGTAATTTCTACCCTCAGTAATACAAAAATAAGAAATGTTAGTCTTTCTTTTATTTGTTTTTGCTATAAATGAATTATTTACTCCCAGTGCCAAAGAAGTTTTTAAACAAACAACCCAGGATGTATTTTGGCACACATACACCCATTTTGCAAAATTATTTTACATATATTTATTCCAAATATGCTCATAAAGATGACTACTGCATCTTTTAAAGTGCTTTCTGAAGAAGCAAAAGTATTATTAATTTTTCAACTAATGAAATGTACCAAGAAAATAAACGGAAGTACAGTGCGCTGATATGTTATAAACGGCTAAGAACTTATGTCCATTTATGAGGACCATCCTAGGCCATCAAGAATAATCCAGGAAGTCTTCATTTTAATCTCAGGTTGTCTTCATGGACCCTCCTCTGCTCCCCAATACACACATCTTTCCAATCTCAAAAAGGAGCAGCGAAAAAGTATTCACTTTCTCTGTTGAAATTTACTCTGGCAGTAGACACACTGCTTGGGCCATCCGATATGTTTCAAGGTGGTAAGATTGTATTCAGGGTTTTTGTAAACCCTTACCCTCACCTGGAATCCCCAGGTGTCCCTCCCTGACTTCTTTTTAGGACTCATCCGAGGTTGACAGCTGGGTACCTATGCACACTTTCCGAGGAATTGTTTGCCACTCTCTCAAATTAAACACAGACATGCAAAGCAAAATAGAACAAAAATGATAGCTCTAACTACAACGTTTTCTTTTCTTTTTCTGTTCAAGTGTTCTTTGCTCTCGCCCGCTCTGGGAGTCTACAGGACTTCACAGATTCCTGCCCTGGTATTTCACTGCCTGTTGGTTTCTTTACCGATGGGCAGAAATAGGGAACAAGCTGTAGAGTCTCAGTGGGCAAAGTAGTCTGGGGAGACAAGCAGCTTAGCCAGTCCCAGTTCACTCTGAAACACCGTTCCCTAGCATACACCTAGCCAGAAAGGCCACCAGGGCAAGGGTTGCGGCCAATAGTGAGGAACTGGAGGCCCTGACTCCTCCCAGGGCAGTGTAAAGGAACGCTAAGGAACCGCTGACACGTTTGGGCCTGTCGGTGGAACTGAGAGGCAGAGGACAATGGGGCCAGGGCTAGTCTTCAGAGGCACGCCCGCCCCCATCTTTTCCACCTCCTCTCCGTCCCTGATCCCTGCTGCACCTAAGGCACCCCACGTTGTAACCCTACACCGAGGTAGCGAGTGGGGATAGCCAGAAGGAGGGATCAGAGGCAGCAAGGCATTTTCTATTGGCAGGGGGAGACCAGCCTTCCCTGGCTGTCATCACATCCCCCATCACCCCTTCCGCGGTCGGTGCGGTGCAGAGGCTCAGTTTCTCCAAGCTACAAGGAAAGAGAAACCAGAAGGGAGACAACCTGAGGTGAACAAGCTCCAGGGCAAGGTATCCACCACAGCTGGCTCTTACACTGGCGCTTCCTCGGGCTACTTGGGGCAGACAGGACCACCCCCTGGCGCCCAGGTGGAGTAAGCACCAGAGCCTCAGGGAAGTCCTGGCCTCCAACACCTCTGGTCAACCCTCTCCCCCGTTTTGGGAACCGCATTTCCCAGAAAAACAACTAGGATAAGTTTCCAAAGGGCATTGCAATTGGTGGGTGTTGGCTGGGGATAGGGGTACTGAGGCACCGGAAGGATCTTCATCTGCACACAAAAAGAATCGAACAAAGTGCTTCTTACCCGTGATTTGATTTCCAGGCTCCCCTTGGGCGAACTGGAATTGGTCGATTAAAAAGTGACAAAGTAGCATAACTCCTGCTGCCGCCAGGTCGGCCCTCAGGAACCTCGCCATACTGCTGCCTCGACCTCCCTTCCCTGCCCCGCGAGTCTTCCCTTCACGCCCTGGGCTCCGGGCTCTCCGTGGAATCGGGCTAGCGGTCGAGCTCTGCGGTGGGTCTCGGATGGGATCCGGAGGTCCTGGTCAGTTTCGATAGGCTTTCTCTCACAGTAGCAGAGAACAGCGACGAGAGAAGGAGGGGCAGCCTAATCCTCTCTGGACTTCGGGGGCTCTCTCCTCAACTTGCCACCCTCGCAGCCCTCAGGCGACACAGGACCACCAAGTTCGGGTAGGAAAGGTCACTTGCAGCCGGGCCAGCAAACTCCCGGATCCTCACAAGCAGCGCCACCCGGGCTCCCGAGGACGGTGACTTCCGAGCGCTCGCGACGCGCTCCACTGGGTTCAAAACATATCTAATTCCACAGCCAGCACCCGTGCCCTGCAGATCCAAGAGGGCGCCGAGCACCGGAGGAACTTTCCCAGACTTAGGACTGGCTCCGGCGGATGCTTGGGGTTCGCGGGAGAGGGCGGGTTAGTGGAGGCTGGAGAAACCCCTCCGACAAGTTTTTCTTCTTTGCTTCGCCCAACGTTGGGCGCGCGTCGTCACGGGCAGCTGGAGAGATGGGCAGCCCCAGAGAGATGAGCCCGGGAATGTCTGGGCTGCGGTGATCAGAAGGCGGGGGTGGAGAGGGGTGTGCTTTTTAAAGAAAAAGAAAAACGAGGAAAAAGTGAAGCTGCAGCCTGGTGAGGCTTCCGCGGGCTAGGGAAGAGATGGATCCGAACACCGCGGAGCCCCAGGAGTTTGGTGGCAGAGGAGCTGCCGCGCTCCCCCGCGCGCTCCAGCTCTACACTTTGGGGAGGGTAGGAGGCTTGCCATTTGCCAGATCCGCCGCGGAACCCTCCTCCCTCCGCCCTCCTCCCTCCCCCCTGGCTCCTCCAGGCTTCTCCCACCTTCCTCCTCCCGAAACCAGCAGCCCGCACCGACCTGTCCAATGGCTGAGCTTTTCTCGGGGGCGCCAGAAAAGTCTCCCAGAAATGAAGCCCAGGAAGACTGGCTGGGGGGAGTCCGAGGGCCACTGCGGCCCCACGAGCCTCCCGGATCCCGAAGACGGGTATGCTGGGCTGTGGCAGATCCTGATCGCCTGGACACCATCGACCCGCCTTACTCGCTCCGTCCATAGCGGAGTAAAAGCCGCCTGCACCCTCCAGGCTCCTCGGGCTTTTGGGTGCCAACCTTCAATTGGGAGACGAGACCCCAACGGGTGCCCACAATCTCCTGGGTTCGACCTGGGCGCTAAAGGGTTAACAGCATTTCATCCCTAACAGAGGGCTGGTCTGGCAACCGTTAGGGTGTGAAAAAAAAATCAAACCTGGGTCGCTTTGGTTACTAACATTCATCCCCATCCACCCCCATCCCAGCAAAAATCACTCCTACCCGAGACCAGCGCAGAGGGTGGTGGAAGGTGGCTCTGGACTGCGGGGTCCGGCGGCCGCCACTGCAGTTTGGTAAAAGTGTCAGCGGGAGCAAAAGCGAGAGTTTAAAGGAACAGGAGGCCCATTGAATTTTCTTCGGGGGCTTTAAAGGGCTTTCACTCGCTACTTTGTTTTTGTTTTTTCAGCTTGCTGATCTGCTTCAGTATTAACCCCTTCCGGCCCTCTCATCAGTTTAAATTTTTTTGTTTTGTTTTGCATACAGCTAACCATGTTTTAATGGGGGATAAATAGAAAGTAAAGAGACAAGGCGCGTCTTTGATGAAAAGTACATGCTGTAGAGCACTCCTTGGGCTAGGACTTCGATTATCCCACAAGGAGCAATTTGCTTAAGCTTTAAGCCTCTGGTCTCCAGGCATTGAATCAGTAGGATTCCATACTGAAGCTCATAGAAGGTCAGAATTAGCCAAGGGAAGCAATTTTTGTTTAATCATCTCCTAGCTTGAAGAACAGAGGTGTTTTCTGAACACAAAAGGAGAACTAAATTAACACACTTAAAAGTGTTCTTGGTTCAAATGAGCCCTGTAGCATGTTCTTGTCTCTGCTTTTTCAGGCTCTGAAGACTTCACGGATGTCACAAAACCTCCTGGGAGTGGGCCGAGATAATTGTAAATTTTGGTACAGAAAGTTTGCCTTCCCCCCTGAGAAACATTTAAAAAAAATATATGCTTTTTTCCTAAAATAAGAATAATTTGTCTATTACAGAATAAAGCATGCTTGTGAACCTTTAAGAACGTCTGCCCCTTTTGTTATCCCAAGATGCTTAACAAGCCCTGAGCTCTCTTCTCAGGTTGATGTCCCCTGTCAACCACACTTAAAGCAGAACTATAATTCTCTTATTTCTGCTCTAGCAAGAGTGTTTGGGTTCTCGATTACATCTCAGTCCGAGAACCGAGAATATTTACATGAATTTTTAAAGTGTAATCTAATGGAAACTTCATTGGACATTAATTGATGTTATTTTGCTTCCTGCACTTTGAACAGCTGACATTTTCCACCTTTACCACCACCACCAGAAAAAACAAACAAAACAAAACAAAAAAACAGGTATAAGGCTAGGATGGAAACCCAGGCAGAAATCTTCCTCAACTCTGGTTCTCATAATGTCCACGGCTCTAGGGAATCCAACCAGACCAGAAAGAGTTAGGTCTTGTGTCTTCTGCTTTCACGGTATGAAAAACAAAAGCAAACAAAAATAGTTTTTTACTTCTCTGAAAAGAACCAAGCGTCCACCTCTATCATTTTCATTTTTTCTCTTATTGTTTCTGAAGATTGGCAGTATTTATTTTTATTGCTTGTTGTCCTTGGCCGTACTTTGCCCTCTTGATAGCAGCTTCAAATATACATTTACCAGTTAGAATTGTTTGCTACAAACTGAAGGAAACAAATGTCAATTTAAAGGTAATTTGATCAGTTTGCATCTGTTGGTCTCTGTTAGGGGTACTGTTTATTTACAATTCCTTATTCCTATATGAATCTTATTTTGCAAAATTGCACATGTCTATGTTCACTTCCCCTAGGTTGTGACAAATTAAATCTATTAAGATAGCATCCATGAACTCTTTAGGGCATGAACTCTTTAGAGCAAGACCCAGCTGGTGGACCTAGAATGCAATAAAAAACGTTATTCAGTTTTGCTGTTCCTTAACCAACAGCTATAGAAGAATCTCAAAATGAGTTAAGAGAGTAGCATCTTTGATGACATACTGCCCAGAACTAAATCAAAAGGAAGATCACTGTAATATATCTAGGCTGTGGTAGTTTAAATTTCCATCAAAACATATTTGTCAAAATGTATTCTGCCTTCACATCGTAGCAATATCAAATAAAGAAAATATTTGGTGCACAATATTTTTGGAGTGGAATGGCAAGAGTTGACTACACATATAACTCTGGCTAATTAAAAGAGCTAAACCGCTTGTCCTCAGTTGTTGGGCCTGTCCTAAATATTTCACCACAGTACAAGTGTGAGTTACACTTTCATGGTGACAAACTAAGAAACAAACTTTTCCTCTGTCGGAAAAGTTTCATCATCTTCAACAGACAAGAGAGAGGTGTTGTAATCCTGGAGTCTTTTGCTAACTGTCAAAGGCACAGAGAAGACACAGCCACCTCTCTTCCCCACTGGCTAACTTTCAGCTGGTTTCCTAAGGTACAAATAAGTTAGAAAGGGCAAATGGTTTTGTTCATGGCTAAGACCTAGAATCCTCAGGTCACTTGCTCCCAGAAGATGCTACATGAGAATCATTGACCGCATAGACCTTTGAGGAGTCACTAGGTAGACCTGAGGTATTATGTTTCCAGATTTCAAACCTTAGAAAACACCTTATCTCCATTAACCTTCAAGGACTGTTCCATTTTGGTTTTGTTTTTAAAAAGGTTTTCTTGTGTCTGGCCATGAGCTCCCCCTGTAGCTGAGCATGGCCTTGAATTTCTGATCCAGCTGCTTCTATCTAGCATCCAGAGTCCTGGTACTGCAGGCTTATGGGGTTGCATAGATCAGGTCAAGGGCTTTATGCACACAACACAAAGCATCCCATCAACTGGGCTATATCCCTAGTCCTGTCTGCAATACAAATATGTGTGTATATTCAGACTATATCTGAATAAGGACACTTTCAGTCAATCTCTCATCCTTACCCCAATTCTAGCATTTTCTTAGGTGCTGTCCTACATTGAAACTTAACTGAATGAATTCCTAAGAAAGCATCAGACACATATGGATTAGAAACAAAACAAAACTTGAGATGCATTGTAGGCTAAGGATTATCTGCATTTATTATGCTCTTTAAAATCATTCTCAGGAAATAATTAGTGTCCACTTAACATCATTTCTTGAAACATTCTACAGCTGCTATCTGATGAAGCGACACAGCTAGTAGGCATATATGCAGTCTTATGCTACGACCTCTCCTTAGGTCAGCAGCACTTCCTCTTCCTCCTCATTTGATAGGGCCAATTTTTTGACCTCTGCTCTGCAATTACAAGACTCATTTGTTCATCTTGGCTGACCTGCTCTCAAAGTCAGCATGACTTATTGTGCAGTTGGTGGTATTTCAGCTCTCTGTTTTTTATAGTTTTAAGCTGTAAATTTTATGAATGGAGCATTTTAAATTCAACAAGCATCTAAAAAAATTAACCCAGAAGCTGAAAATTACTCACTGCCTGCTAAGGCTTATATACACATTACTTTTACTATTTAGATGAAATTAACAACATGATTATGTTTGGCACAATTTTTGTGAAATAATATATTAACATAGCACACATTTATAGCTTTCTTAGTCTTAACAATTTAAAGAGAGTTTGGCCAATAAATATTAGTACAAAATGAGCAATTAAATAGCAATAAGGAAATGATCGAAATGGATTAGTCCACACTGTTTAAAGCATAGGGTAAGAAACAGTGCAAAATAGAAACACGCATCTTATTTAAAATTATTAGAATCAAAAATGAACTAGTGGTTACATTTCGGGGAAAATGCCTGGCAAATACTTTAGTGCGTTATAAAATGAAATAAGCCCCAGAGAACCTAGGCAACCAAGAAGACATTAAGAGAGACATACATAGAACTACATAGAAAGAAGATCTCCTGAGTAAATTGGAAGTGTAGGGATCACAGAAGAGGGTAGAAGGGGAGAGGGGAGGAAAACAGGGAAGTGGACAAGACTGTATAGCTCAATAAAAACAATAAAAATTAAAAAATAAAATGAAATAGCCACGTTGAAGATTTATGTATAGTGCATAAATAACAACAAGGTGAAAGGGGCCAGCGAGCTCACTGTTGATTCGGTTATCTGAATTCTTCTGAATTAATGGAAAATATCTGCAGTAGAGGAAACTTGTTTCTTGAGTGTTCACCTCAGGGGAAGCTGTACTCCTACAGAATCCATAATGGAAGTCTCAACTGCCAGGCCATGTCACAGGGCTTTGTACACTTGCTGCTAGTGTAACCTGAGTTACACAAGTACAGACCCTACCAGAACCCAACTCTGAGGCTTACCCTAGATTTCTTTTTTTCATCTTTATTTCCTTTGCTCCAAGTTTTCCTTTTACTTTCATATCTATGATGTTTTGAGGCCTAATTCACACAGCTTAAGAGTTATCCTCTTAAAATTCACAAATCAGTGGGTTTTAATTTACTCCAAGGTGGTAGAACCAAAACCATAATTGAATTCCAGATGGTTTTCATCACCCAGTGCCCATTAATAGTCAATCGTATTCTCTGCCCAACCTCTGTCCTAGGGAACACTGATCTACTGTCTCTGTGGCATTGTGGACAGATGTCTCGGGCCAGTTCTGT